AACCTAACGGGTAACCGAGGCTCCGGTTCGACGTGCAGGAGAAGGAACGGGGTGCTTTTTAGTCAGTAAGAGTCTGACACTCCCTTCCGCCACACCCAGGTGAGAGCAGTCATTCGATGATTTTCCCCCTTAAAAAAAAAAAAAAAAAAAATGGTGAGTAACTAAATTGGTTGGTTACTATCCATAATTATTTATTAATAGATAAAAACAGCAGATAGAGAATCAGATGTTTACACCACGCCTACATTTTGTAACATAAATGAATTTCATAAATTTCAATTCTATAAATTATTTTGAATAATTTATTCAACAATTTATTTTTAGTTGAACATAAATTCTGTTGAAAAAAGCTTTGTTTCCTTTGAGATTGTTTAGCAATTAATAAATAAAACGATTACAATGAATTATCCTTTCAAAAGCCAACATTCTATTACGTTCATCATTTTGTTTGGTTAGAAATAATTTGAATTCTACTGAATTTTAGAATACGTTTAATTTTTGTTACACAATAATATTCAAATGTTCTGGATAATATATCCAGAACTGTGTATTAAAAATATCGTTGATTAATTCATTTTCTTTTAGCTTCGAAGCTATTATTGTTTCTTGTACAAAATTCAGATGAATATTAATGTTAATGAAAAGTAAATAACTACTGTCCTTATTTTTTCCTTTGAGGTTATATTCCAAACTACTACCACTACCAGTCATCGAACTGTTTACCCTCAATCAACAGATTACTTTCAATAACCAATTACATTACTTCACTTCGAACATTACATTCCTTTCATCGATTTTATTAGTTGGAGCGAATGAAATTCAATTTTAAATTAAATTCCACATTCCATGTTGGATTGTTCATTTGCACTCAGCCGTTGCGGTTTGGTTACAACCTACATAATTTAAAACTCATTTGTTTAACTAACTCTAAAATGATAGATAAAAAAATGTTCCTTGCCTAATGTCGTGGTGGCGCTGAGGTTTAAGACGCCCGCTTCTTATGTATGTATGCATGTAATGTACTAATATGACTTTTATCGAGTTATATGTACGGTAAATGGTCAAAAGTCCGCTGCCACCGTAAGAAGAAAGAAAAGCCATGTATTTTGCGCAAAACACACATAACATAATTAAAAAATAAGACTACTATCGGTTGCGCTGCAGCGCTTATACACACATGCATACGTATATTTTTATCCGTGTGCGTACGCGTGCGTGTGTTTATGCGTATACACGCGTTTTTATGCACATTGCACATGCATAATATGAAATTACTTACGCATTGCCTAGTGAACATAACTCACGGTGGCAGTGGACTTTTGACCTTTGACTGTACTTTCTAAGATTATTTAGACTCTACTGACAACGGTACGATAAAGGAAAACCTCGTGAGGAAACCTAAGCTTATAAGAAATTATAAGTTTAAAATTTCCAACCCGTGAGCAAGCGTGGCTTCTCCGTGTGAGAAGAGGCCTTTGGTCAACAATGGCCACTTATAGGCTGATGTGATAATTAAAGTGTTCCTTCAATCAGGGAATTAGAATTTATGATTTTAATAAAATTAAACTGTTTTCACGGTTTACGAAGTAGCTGGGTTACCGAGGGCTTGATTTTCGCACGGAACAATAATTTTTCATTGTTGTTTTGGGTCTGGATTCCATTCATATGTGTGTGTGTGTGTGTGTGAAATTGTGTATTATTAAATCGTCTCACAACTCAGGAGAAATTGCTATAATAAATAGTGTTTCTGCTATCAGTATGCAAAAATACATTTTTAGAGGACAATAGATGTAATATTTATTTATTCCATTTTGTTATTCAATAATGTTTCCTATACACGTATAGGCAGGGGTGTTAAAACTATTGTCGAGCACAGGTGACATTTTCCTAAAGAAGTATGAAAATATGACGTATCGATATGATGCACCACCTACATGAAAGATGAGTGTAATGGAATTGCTATTTTTATGGTTATTGGTATTTTCCATTGAAACAATGGTGTGACAACTATAATTTTGTAATGTAGGCGTTGGCTATTGGGTAGTTTCCAGGGTATCAAAATTAAAAATCTAATTAGTCCGTTATTTAGATAATGAAAAAATATTAGACACGTATTTTTTTATTTTCTCGTATTAAGTTGCAATACTTAGATAAAATGGCGCTAAGTTTAGGAATGTTCATAACGCGTTACGTCATAACGTGCTACAAAAAGTGGCACGCTGTGACGTCACATGATATTTCAAATTTATGTATCGTCGAAAGTATTAAATTTTTGAGAAAAGAAAAAATACGTGTTTAAAGTTTTAAATTAATGTACTAGACTCACATTAAAATAAAATTTAGGAAATTATCCTATTTTAGACAGCCATGTTAGCTTTTAAATTAAGGAGCTATGTATTGAGACATAATGCTCCTGTGATCTGTCTAGTGTTGCTGTTTGAGTGGTCATAGGCGACGCTAATTGCTTATCATCAGGTGATCCGTCTATCCACAAAAGCAAAACAATACATTTTTTGGGGTTTCATACCCAAATGATTAAAACACTCTTATTCAGCTAGTATTTACGTCATTTGGCCCCTATTATTCAAGATTTAGATACGTCGCAAATATTAGCTATTTCTGGTGTAACACAGATAGGTTTTTTGTTATCAAACCTTTGGTTGATAACAAGGAATTTGTTTACCAAACATAATTAAAACAATGAGAGATCTCTCTCGTCGTGGGTGCAAATGATAAACAACCTTATTATTACGGGTTTCTGGTTTCAAATTTATTGTTGTACCTTTGCTTTGTGTATGTGAAACTGACCAATACATGGATATATATATTTTTACTGAAAAATCTTTTGTCCTAGTTTACAAAAGATAACATACCATCACGCCTTTTGTCCCCGAAGGGGTAGGCAGAGATACACATTATACCACTGTAGGAATAATGTAAACCCCACTTTTAATTTTCTAGCTTTCATCTTATTTTATTTTTATTTTTTAATTATGTTATGTGTGTTTTGCGCAAGAATAAATGGTTTTTCTTTCTTTCTTTCTTCTTTTCACTATTTATATTATGAGTCCCATGTAATATGGGGTGAGCCTATTGCCATATACTGGGCACGATTCCAGATTCCGTGCTACTACTGAGAATATTTCAAAAACCCAGTAATACTTTGCCGGACCCGGGAATCGAACACGAGACCCCTTGCCCGGCAGTCGCACAAAAGATGTGTATATCTTATAATTGGTTACTGTATTTGTCTGATACTCAAAAGGGTAACGTCAAAAGATATAAGGTTCCAAGACGGGTCAAGTAAAATTGGTTATGGATTTGAAATTCTCAGAACCAAATTTGGGATTGAAAAATTAAAATGTTAAAATGATTTTTGGATCTATAAGGGGAGAGCTTGATTTCAGTGGTGATTCACGGTAGCAGTCTTATGGTAACAGTGTATTACTAAAAAAACCTTGTCTTAGAACTTAGTTAAGTAAAAATGTGTGTACTGTACGTACCTCGATTTTAATATTTAGACAAATTAATTAGAGTGACATTATAGGTTGTATCACAAACGTTTAACAAATGCGGACATAGTTTCTTGAAAAAACGACTGTGGCTCCTGCAGTCTTGGGTGTAGTAAACTACTGATTAATGCTCTAACCTTCTCCGTGTGAGAAGAGGCTTTGCTCGGCAGTGGGCATTTATAGGCTGTTGATGATATGATTAATTAATTAATATTAATGATTTCTATTATTTTGTAAGTAGAGTAAGTACTTTTGCGGTGTCTAAAAGGGCCTATACTCGGAAAATATTTAAATAGAAATTGTAAACCACCCTGTACACACTATAGATACATTAAAGTGATTTGAATTTAAATTTTAAGTACATTTTTTAACCTTCATCTCTTAGTTATCAGATTATCTACTCATGCAATTAAAATACAAGTTCTAAAGGCAAAAAGTAAATTGGATAACTATTTCTTATGAAAAGTAATTTAGTAAATATTGTTCTAATTACTCTTGAGTTTCAAGATAACTGAAATTATATTTTGATAGTTAGGCCCTTATAATTTTAAATTGAATTTATATACGTTTTATTAAGTACCTGTCTAGTTTTACTATAAAATACATAAGGTATTATTTTTCTAATTTAATTTCTTGTCCGTCTAAGATAATTCTGCCTCTTTGGCCGAGTGGTCGCTAGTACGACTGCCGGGCAAGCAGCTGTAGCCAAATGCCATTTAGCGCTTGTCTACATGTAGAATAGAAAACCAAATTATATGGAATTGACGTAAATTTTGACAGTTGTCTGTGTCATCCCCATACATTTTGATTTCTACTCTCTCTGTAGACAAGCGCTAAAGTGGCGATTGGCTAAAGGCCAAGGAATCTTACGGTTTGAATTCATTTATTTCTAAAAGATTACAAATCACTTGTACAGAAATAAATACTTAAACTAATTTTACATTTTTTGATTTGTCCGTGAGTAACAAGAGGTTGTAATAGCGGTCTCTCGGGTTCGATTCCCGGATCAAGCAAAGTATTAGTATTAGTGTAAATTCTCAGTCGTAGCACGGAGTGTGGAATTCTGCCTAGTATAATGGCAATAGGCTCACTCCCTATTACATGGGTCTCATAACATAAATAGTGAAAAGTAGGTGTTTCATTGTACCTACAGTGGCATTAAGTGCCGTAATGTGCACCTCTGCCTACCACTTTCGGGGGCAAAAGGTGTGATGTTATGATGTTAATGTTTAAGTTATGGGCGGGGTATCTATTGAAAGACCTCGCTTTGTCATGAACAGGAATCGATGACTGAAACGAAGTGGTAAATAAATCCTTAAAGAATTAGATAGATTTTTTGTGATCCGCAGTTTGAAGAACATATTATTAGAATATCACCAGGTAGCTATATCACCTATGTAGGTAGGTATGTGTAGTATGAAAAGAATACGGTGTGTGTGTGTGTGTGTGTGTGTGTGTTCGTGTGTTTTTATGATAAATGAAACTCACCTCAAGATCCTTGGCCCAGTTCGTGTAGGCATCAGAACGCTTCCCGAACCTGTGGACAAATAAATAATTTAAATATTTTGAAAGATGAGAACTGTGTAAACACATAGACGAGTACGTGAACTATTTAATTTTTATTGTACATTTCCAAAGCATTGTCATTTTGTAAATGTTTTGTTACTGGATACTGAAATTTTAGGTCCAGATATTCTTGACTAGGTAAATTCATAAAGGTAATGTATGTAAAAATAAGTTAAGTGGGGAGCCATGCTTCGGCACGAATGGCCCGGCTCGACCGGAGTGATACCACGGCCTCACAGAAAATCGACTTGAAACAACGCGTTGTGTTTCGTCATGTGAGTGAGGTTACCGGAAGCCCAATTACCCCACTCCCTAGTTCCCGTCTCCCGAATCCCCGAATCCTCCACAATCCTAAAGTCCGAAAAGGCCGGTAACGCACTTGTAACGCCTTGGTGTTTCGAGTGTCCATGGGCGGCGCCGATTGCTTACCATCAGGTGATCCGTCTGCTCGTTTACCGGCTGATCGGCCTTTAGATAGAACATTGATTTAGATAGAACATTGAGAAATACATACATTTATGCGTATAATTAAAACAATAGACCTTTTTTATAAAAAATATTAACTTCACTTTAATAAGTTACCGAACAACAACGACAACAAAAACCAAATCAACTCAAAAATATATTTTGTTACGTTAGACATAAAGACCACGTTGCAGTAAAAAAAATAATGAAACTTTACGCTGAAACATGCGAAACCAAATGTGAGTAAACATGTCGGTTTTATGCAAAAACCTTCGTCGACCTGTGCATTTTATTGTCCTGGCCTTTTTGGAAACCATCATCAAAGTCTGTCAGAAACAGCAAATCCTTTTGAAATTGCAACAATTTTTGAATTTTGATTTACTCTGACAATTTCTCTTTGATGGTCGTGACAGGTACAATATGCCTTTATGATATTTGATTGACACTATTGGTTATTTTATATTGTTATAATCGGGAGGAATCGCAAGTTAAAAGTATTTTGTCATTCATGTTTTTGTGTTAATAATACCAAAATTTTACATAACATAACATTCCCCCTTTTATCCTCGAAGGGGTAGGCTGAGGTGCACACTATGGTACTTAATACTATTGTACAATGTCACACCCTCTTTTCACTATTTAATATTTATGTTATGAGTCCCATGTAATAGGACGTGAGCCTATTGCCATATACCGGACACAATTCCAGAGCCCGTGCTACAACTGAGATTAAAAAACCAGTAATAGTTAGTTTGCCTGACCCAGGAATCGAACCGAGACCCCTTGCTTGCCAGTCGCACTTGTAACTTGGCCAACAAGGCAGTCATATTATTTGATAAAAAATGTACACATATTAGTAATATTACTTTTTCTTTACAAAACATACAAAGAAAGTAGAGATAATAAAGTATAGTATTGTAAGGAATATCATAAAAGTTATTTCAGAAACGAACTTCTATAAAACTTAAGTTTAATAAAGATAGTCACCAATTAATATTGTGTATCGTTTTAAACTGTCAAACGCCGCGAGGACACCGGTGACCGCAACCTATTGTTCTTTAACTCGTCGAGTACCGGTTTTATAGACACAATTAAAGAACAATAGGTCGCGGTCACTGGTGACCGCTTGGTGTTTGACAGTTTAATTGAGTCTATAATGACGGTACTCAACGAGTTAATTAGCCAAGTTCTTAGAGTTTGGGATAATTATTTAATAGTAGGTACATTTAAAAAGTTATAAGTTACACATCGTACCACTATTTGTATTCAGATTGTCTGATTCCAGTAAAAATAAATAGGTATTGTAAAAATAGCTTCCTCACAAATCCACGGTTCAAAAAGGTATGATATACTTACAAAAATAACAAAATAGCTAAAACAACCCTTTCTTTTTAACTTAACATATTACTTATATGAGACATAAAAGTTTTGTAAAAACTCCGTAAGTAAAAAAATAAAGAAATCTTTTTACAAAAGGTAAAAGATATGAAATATATGTAGGTACATACGGCTACACATCGAGCTTTATTTAACCAGTATAAACTGAACGTTAAATGTGCTTAAAGATGATGCGACGCGAGACCAGGATAAACTGGTTTTGTATAGATTGATGTGTGGCCGTGTGTACCTACTCTGGTTCGTGCTTTTACGATAATGCTTCGTATTCCATTCGGTGAGGTTTTTAAGGTTCCGTACACAAAGGGTAAAAACGAAGACTTGTTATTAAAACTCCACAGTCCGTCCGTGTGTCTGTACCAGTCTTTACAATGAAGTATTTCAAAAACTGCCTCGTTGACCAAGTGGTCGCTAGTGTGACTGCCGGGCAAGGGGTCTCGAGTTCGATTACCGGTTCGGGCAAAGCAAAGTATTGGGTTTTTAAAATTTCAGTAGTAGCACGGAGTCAGGAATTGAGCCCGGTATATGGCAATAGGCTCACTCACTATTACATGGGGCTCATAACATAAATAGTGAAAAGTGGGTGTTACATTGTACAGTAGCATTAAGTGCCGTAATGTGCACCTCCGTCTATATCTTCGGGGATAAAAGGCTTGATGTTATGTTATGTTATGTCACAATCCGTCTGTATGTCTGTACAGTAAAGATATTCAAAAAACCATGAGAATAAAACAGTTAAAGTTTTCTAATACATAAAATGTATCCTTTCATTTATTCTGTACTGTAAATAATGCTATAGAACTATATGTACGCGAGTCCGATTTGAATTTGGCCAGTTTATTAGCTTTATATAACTTACTTCTTATTTTGTAAAATAACAAAATAACATTACAAATGACTTATTTTTAGACATGTTTTATGTTATATACACAAAAAGCATATTTATATTTAAGAAATACAAAGGCGATATTTGCTTGAGTAAAACGAATGACAACTGTACAATTTTCCTTATAAACATGTATAGTATAGGACAGAATATGATAATGCAAACAAATAAAGCATGTTTTAACAAATAACAAAGTAGTAATGACATATAATTTAGTGTTTTTGGGCAAATCATTTTATACGTAACCATGGGCCGTCTAAGACTACGATAGGGCCCTTACGCACACAATAGGGTAGATGATTAACTAAAATATTCAAGTTATTCACGTAAATATACTGAGAAAATCTCTACTAGTTTCGAGTCACTGAAAGACGACCTCGTGAGCAGCGTAAGCAGTTTCGGCGATGTGGCGCAGGACAAATAGTAGACCTTCTCTCAGTACATTTACGTCAGTTACTCGTAACTATTAGTTGTTAATCTTTCTTTCACGTCGCCAAGCTCAGATTTAATGAAACGACAAGGCCCGAGTGAATAGGTTGCTTATGGGTCGACGTGCTCCATCGTAGGCCACATCATCGCTTACCACCAGGCGATATAGTAGTCAAACGTCAGTCCATCTAATATAAAAAAAGACTTTTGTATCTGTATATGTAGAAGGTGGCAGATGATAAGGGTCGTATTCCCTTCTTTAAGACGTGTGCAGGTAACTGCGGATAACATTTAATAACATACATTATTATATAACAGCGATACTACAATCTTAACTTAATATGAAGGTTTGATTGACAAAGGTTTTGTACCTTTCGTAAACTTGGTTGAAAATTATTGTAATACTTAATTAAAATGGGTAATTCTATAAAGACTGCGTTTATAGGCAATAAACAAGATATTTAAGACAAGAAACTAATAGGTATAATGTTCCCTCAATTCAGACCAGTAACCGAATACTCATAAATGAACGACCTGACTCTAATCCTAAATTACTGTTTCATTTCTCGACCCACATACTCGTTTACCAATCAACTATACCGACCTAAAGAAGTATTATATAGGGGGATACGCCATCAATATTCATGGAAACATTTATTGTCGATACATAATAGTTTTTTTTACCCGAAATTAGGGAATCGTTCCCTCTAACAAACTAACAATCAGGGGGGTAAGGCATGCAGGAAATACGTACATCAATACGAACGTGCGCTGAATTATCGATGATGCCAGAGAAACATCGATTATCGTACCTTGGTCGGGTGTGGTAGGAGTAAATGTTGTCTAATTTCTGTAGCACGAGGAGCCGCACAGCGCGATTTAACAAGTCCGGATCGACGCGGTCTCCATCCGCAACGTCGCGGCGGTCAATCCTGCCAATATATCGATAACGATATAACAATCGTGCTCACAACACTACTCAACACGGCCAAGATACGATTAATCGTTCCGTATCAAAGGAGTGTTACGAAATTCTTTGGATTTGTTTCAATTATCATTTGAAGTTCGAGAATCCTTTTATAACTTGGCTGGCCTTACAGTTCATTCTATAAATAAATCTTAGGTATTCATTTGGGGTGGGTTTGTTCAAATTCTAGGTAACCTAAATTCCAAATAATCTAACTTTGTTATCTAAATTCAATACTACAGCGAATATCAAAGTTAATGTCCTAAGAAAAGTCCAGTAAAACAGTTGTCTACAAACTTTTTTATACTATCATAAACTAGGGTTATTGTTATGAGTATTGTTGAGGTTATAATAAAGAATAGAGTGAGTTCATGAATAAAATATTGGCATACTCTAAGTTATGAAGTAGGGGAAGGAGAAATGCTCAAATTCAGAGCAATAACAAGGAACGCAGATGCATCAAGTTTCACCAAGAAGTTAATTGTCGAAATTACAGTACAATTTACATGTTACAAGCAGTTCGTACTTATACCAGTTTCATATTTCAGTACAATCAAGAAACTTTATATGAGGATGGAAGCTAATTGTTTCTGTTCGTGTTACGTTACTGTGTGAAAGTTCGTGTTACTATATTCTATGGCTTTTGTCAAGTAACACGTCTATCTGCTTCTATCTAAAATTCTTCTACACTGCTCTGTAGTTCAAATGGTATTAGCCTACTAATTTGACTTAAAAAGTCTGAATATACTGTCTATATAATAAAAAAAAATATATCGACAGACCTTTGAGTGAGTACCTACTTACTCAAGTAGGTAAATATAAGCAATGCCCGAAATATGTATTCAAAATATATTTAAAAACGTCAGATGAAACCATCAAGCTTCGATTAAACCATGATCAATTCGACGGTACCCACATTCAATATTCTTCAAAGCAACGGTCCTAAGTGGGTAGCACTCCAAGTAAACAAACCAGTAAATACATTTGAATATCTATTTACAACCGCTTCCTAGAAACACCACCTTACCGAGATATTATTAAAATAACATACACCCGCGAACACTGATATTCCGCATGGCAAGATGGCACCACAATCGCTAACGATAAGTTATGATAAAACCGATAATAACGTTAACAGTTCAACAAATCGCGTAATTAGCGCGACACTCGAATCGTTCATTATATGGTGCAACCAACCGTTAATATAAACATGTTGGTTTAACTAACGATAGTTTATCGTAATCGCATACTTCACACTGTGGTGTCAACCGGCTTTCGATGCCGTAAATGTCATAAAAAGCTGATGTTTGTTTTGCATTAAAATTCGAAGCAACGTTGTTTTCAATTCTGCGGATGGGTTAATCTTTTGTAAAATCAAGACCTACTTTCACATATTCGTAGTATAGTAGGTATTAATAGTAACGTTATAATGATAAACAGTAAACACAGGATGTAGTAATGATAAACACAAAGCATTTTTAACTGATTTCAAAATAAGAAGTTTCTCAGTGTAACCTATTTGTATGTATGTCATATTTATATTATGTATGATGAACATACATTTGTACGTAATTATCTGGCGATTAGCTGAACCGATTCTGTTGCGGTTTAGAGAAAAGTGTTTGTTACACTTAGAAGGTTTTAACCGACTGCAAAAAAAGAAGGGGTTGTAGTCGATTTTTTTAAACTAGTTAATGAAGACTTATTGTTATTTTCTAAATCAAAGCAAATTACTAATATTCAAATGAATCTGTTGTATGTAGATGCGAAAGACTAAGAGAAAGAAGGACATGAAAATAGAACATAATAACTGGATAATTTATCACAAGTTAATAAGTAACCGATGAAGGATAACAGCAGGAATACAGATCTTATACTATTACATAAAGCGGAAGTTTGTTTTTTTGTTTGAACGCGCTAATCTCCGTAACTACAAGTCTGATTTGAATAATTATTTTTGTGTTAGATAGCGCATTTATCGAGGATGGCTATAGGCTATAAAACATCACACTATGACTAATAGGAGCTGAGCAGAGCGTGTGAAACCGCGCGGAAGTAGCTAGTCATTAAATACAAATGAATAATTACAATAATACATCAAAATATCTTTACCTTCACCCTAGCCCACATCATTGATATGCGTCATAGAACCCCAAAATCAATACACGTCAATAAGGTCCTAAAGCCTAACTATAACCCGATCACTTCAATCAAAATGTTCCCTCGTTCCAACAATATGTGGAAGGATCTCACTGACAGGTGACAAGAATAAATTAACCAAACTAACAGCACTTACGATTATTGGATTATTAATCTGCTTAGTTACTTATGGAAATAGATAATCTATTGATATCCTTTTCTACTTCTATTTTTGTAACTGCTGACCTTTTGTTTTTAATTAAATCTTTCTGTGATGTTATGATATTGTTTCTAGTAATTGTTTTTGTAACCACCCAAATGTTCTTTGGGTTGGTATTGTTCGTAGGATCAGTCACCTTTTAATTGGGCTGATTGTAAACCGACACATGCGTACTGCCTTCAGAACGGGTCCGCTCAAACTGTTGTCGTTCTTTCCTCAAAAGGCCACTACAGAAAGAACTTCCACGGTTCTTACATATATTTTTTTATAGTTACACATTTGTCTGGACTTTAAAAGCAACGGACCTCAGGGTTTGTTTCGGCATTTCTTCTCAGAGTAGTCAGTCAGGAAATGTCGGCCTCATCGTTCGCTTGATAAAATTGACGTGTAAAAGTGCTGCCTTGTAGCCTATTTGCAGAAATAAGATCACTTGTTTCACTCACTTCAGTGTTGCATATTGATATTTTCTCTTTTATTTAAGGTATCCTTCATTAATACAATGTCTGTTCCACTTAGTGTTGTCTGGATTTTTAAAGAGACTCTTACCTATGTTTTTGTTTTGATGTTTCTTCTCAGAGTAGACGAAAACTGAAATGCCACCTTCTTCTAGAATCAGGAGCCTACCTTGTTAAATAAATAATTTTGCTTAACTCATTAGATTATCTTTTTGGTTAAAAACTGTTTTTGTATTAGTTGGTTTTTGTTAAGATCGCCTTTTATTGCAAGAGGTAAATAACAATAGTCCAAAACATAAACAACATAACATAACATCACGCCTTTTATCCCCGAAGGGGTAGGCAGAGGTGTATATTACGGCACTTAATGCCACTGTACAATGTAACAACAACTTTTCACTATTTATGATAAGTCCCATGTAATAGGGGATGAGCCTATTGCCATATACCGGTCACATTTCCATACTCCGTGCTACTACTGAGATTTTTTAAAACTCATAATACTTTGTCCGACCCGGGAATCGAGCCCGAGATCCCTTGCGACCACTCGGCCAACGAGGCAGTCCAAATCATTGAATTAAATATAAGTAACAGAAATAATAATATGATGTACCAAAAATATTTATCCATTGCTTTAAATTTTCTTATTCATAACATTGCTTTATACAAAAACAGAACGTGGACGGATTCGCAGTAATTATTATACTTTCATCGTTTATACTTTATAATTGTGGTTTCCATTGTAGAGAATTAATCATTTTAATTGGAGTTGGAGGTACAAGGCAGGTAGTGTAAGAAAATACTTGGATATTAATTTAGTCTGTTACTAAAAGGAGTAATAATGGGGCAGTGGGAATAACTGTTCGCTCTGATAAAGCAATGTTTCTAGTCTTTAGGTTTCTTGTTTATTATTTATATAACCTTTTCATTTGTAATCACTGTGTTGAGGCTTGATTTAAATAAAAATACAAAATGGCTGTAGTTTAACATACGTCAATAGTGTACGTTTCAGTTCACTCATATTTTCTGTGTTACATGCGTTAGACTTGTGTATGATCACATTGATAAATAAATAGAATGGTGTCCAAAACTTACTGTTAAGGAATATAGAAACGGAAAAGGTCAATATAAGAACACTAACGATTAACTATATCTCATCTGGGAATTGAGTCCGATTTCACGAAAATTAGAACTTTAGGTTTAGGCTAACTGCACAAAACCATTCGGAAACAAAAAAACATAGTTCAAATACCGCAGCCATTTTGAAGCAGAAGCATTTTGGAGCACCCCAATCTCTTTTCCTAATGCATCGTAAACGTTTTTAAGTACATAATCATGAAAATTGGACATGCGACACTTTCGTCTGAGGGAAGAGCATCGCCCATTATTTGACACGCAAAAAAGTGATTACCTACCTTGAAATTATTGCTGGTTTTTGAATGGAATGGAAATGTTGACTTTTTGACTGAGGACCAAGATTTTTCCCTAAAGTTCTGTCTTTTTTCCTCGATTTGTTTATTTATGGATTAGCTGACAGTTCTTAAGAGGTCATTAGAGTTAGTAATTATTGATTATTATCTGTTGTAGATGTTATTGTCAGAATAAGACGTTATTTCTTTGCGTGAATGATCATTTAGGTACAATTTTACTCTGGCAAACACAATTTTAAATATACAATTTAATACATAAGAGATCATGATTGCATTTCACGGTCGCATTACTAATATCAATAAATCTATATTATCAGTTAAAAAAAAACTATGTCAAGTGGATTGTCCTGAAGATTTTGGCGCTTTTGGGGTTAATATTTCGATATGTATGCAAAGGGATTTTCTATGTGATCCTAAAAGAATCTCTTGCCAATATTATTTTGGGATAGATCCCCTTCTTGTAGGGTAACGTTAGTCCGATTAAAAAGGCACGTGTTACACATTACAACAACCACTATTTCCTTTTTCAATCATATGTTTTTGGTTAGCCAAATTTACTTTTTAAATAAGTGCGGTATTTCACCAATCTATATTTATAAAAGCAACTAACACGAGTTGCGCTATTTATAATACTCAAGAACGGCTTAATAGGTTTCGATGAAAATTGGTGGGGAGGTAGCTTAGAAGTTGGAGACGGACATAGGATACGTTTTCTCCATTT